CTTGTTAACACAACATGTGTCTGACGGGAAGGGCAGGATCCATCCCACAACACATTTCCTTTCTGAATGGTCTACATTTACTATGAATTCACCATCTCAATCAGTGGAACAGGGGCACTCCCAGGGGGCAATTCAGCCTATCCTGAGAGAAATCTAAAGGTAAGGTGTCTGAGTTGGAGATCTCTTAACCTAAGAGACGGTCCAAAAGAATAATTTTGGCTAGACTAGATTAAACTAACAAAGAAGCTTCCAAAGGTGGGGAAATTAATCCCATTCACAGTGTGCACAGCAAAGCCAAAAAAATATTTACACATCATTGCCTTTCCTAGATGCTGTTATCCTGAATCTAGTTTTCCAGCTGGTGTAAATCCAGATTATGTAAATCATCATGACTTTATGGACATAAGCTAGCCAAAAGAATGGCCAAAAGTTTCTATGCTAATACTGGTTGTTTTTCTAGTTGGCATAGGTTTTAGAAATTGTATTGAAATGTTATTTAAATTAAAGGGAAATGACTCATTGCTAGTTTAGATTTCTGTTAAAAAAATCTCTGACCTAAAACATGCTGTAACCTTTTATAGGCAGAAATAAATGTGTTAAGGAGAATAGTTGAAAATGTCAGCTCCTTCCAGCCTTAGAAATCTCTATGAATGCAACATTACTAGTTAAACACAAATATCTATACTGTGTAGAGCAACCACTTCAGATGAAAATCTGTTCTCTGTATCAAAGAGAGCTTTGTTAAAGATCATATTAACCAAAGGCTAGGTCTTTTTATTCATAATGAAGCTGATAAGAAAAGAATCATCTGTTAAATAAAGGAAGCACAATAAAATCAAATGGCTAGTGTTTGGAGTGATTTGGGGGTGTGTTGGGGAAAGGCTGCAGCCATGCCCTTCTCCATTTCACAGCTTCTTAATAATATTATTTGTATTATTTGAAGTTTTCTAGATGTTTATTAAAGTGGAGTTGAATTTGGAAGAAAGAGGATGAAGGTTGTGAGACTGACACAGAAGTGTGGGAATAGAGGGATCCATGAAGAAGAAACAGTAAGGTGTCTAATAGTAAAATAAACATTTTTTACCTTTTGACCTCCAGTGGTTGGAGATGATAAAGTGTTCTGTAAGGTCTCTGTATGTGGCCTGGATGTAGAAGGCAACAGGTGACCACTACGCAGTATACCTGCAGAAAAGAGAATGGATTACTTGTTAGTGGACAACTCCTTACTCTTCAAAGTCTAAACTGACCTCTTTATCCAATGCTGTGATATTATTTTCTCATATTAATAGATTTTCAAGGTCAGTGGGGAATATGATGAACACCTTGTCTGGCCTCTTGCAACAACAGCCAAAGGATTCAACCCCATAACTCCCGCCAATAGTCTCTGATCAACAGCCTCTTTGAGAACGTTGTTAGCTTATTCCAATGACTGATGGTAGAGAGGAAAAAGTTCCTCTGAGTAGACAAAATCTTATCTATCATGTTCTGATGTTTATCCAGGGATTAACATTGTGAGGGAATGATCGGTACAGCTGTTAAAAAGCATGTCTGTTCTTCACCAACTATTGTATATTCAGCCAGCATTCGTCAGGCTGGTGCTCCAGTCTTTCCCCCTAACTTCGGTATTAGCTAACTCACTTAATACTGCCCCAGAAATTTATTGAGTCCTGACATATATAGGTTTCAAGGAGGCAAGGATAAAATTCCCAGTATAAAGAGAAAAATAATACACCAAATATTGTGGATACAGGGTGTGACATACAGAGTGACACCAGAAGCCCAAGTAATTTGCACTTTTTTTGTGTGTTTTGATTTTCCTCACTGTTACACCAAATGTTGGTGCACTGGTAGCACAAAGAGAGCAATTCCTAGTGGCACTACAGCTCTGTACATCAAACTAAGTACCTGGAGACAGGTACCTACTGTTTATTAAGCAGTACCATGAAGTGATTTGATTCAGAGCAGCAATGTTCTGGTGTGGAGGATGGGAGGGAGTTGTGAAATGTTTGTGTTTAATTTATTTGGTGGCAGGGGAACCTGGTAAAAAACAATTTATAAATTCTGTATGTATCCAATCTTTTTTTGTCATCTGGACAACTAAAAGACATAAATATAGAATAACACTATTCTGAAATTGAATTATACTGCCTTTGCCATTACACTGAGCAGTTGTGGAGCCCAAGAGCTTTGCTGATGTGAGAGAGTTATACAGGTTCCCCCAAAGTAGTGCAGTCATCTACTGTTACCACAAGGCATGTGATTTTTCTTTTTTCCCTTTGCTTCAATATATGTTACAAATTTTTAGTTGAAAGAAACTAGAAAAGGGCAAAGGACAGGAGAAGCACAGTCCTTGTCTTTAGATGGTTTTCAACATATCCTGGGACCACATGAGGTAAAAACTTTCAGCTCGCTTAAGCCCCCACACGTCTTGTAGGACCTTTTAACTTTTGTTTCATCTCCCTTTGTGTTTTTGGGGGACAAGGAATACCATTGCTTCATCTGTTGGTTTTATCCAACATTTTGTGAGATATTTTCACTTCTCTTAATATGTTGGAGCTTTTATGGGTCTTTTATGATAGTATTTTAGCTCAACACTGTCTTCATCTTCATTTCATACATGGAGGTCTCAGTCAAAGGGAAGGAGATAACTAGTGTGGAGTCTCTCAGGAAACCTCACGCAGCAAGGTGTTGGATCTGTCCTTTACAAATTCCTTAACAAAAGGAGTTCCCTTCATTTCTGTTCACCCCATGTTCAATAAGATAACGGAAATCACACAGTTTGTTCAGTTTCTTTCTCCTCAAAGAAATAATAAGCCAAAGAGGAAAAAGCATTGTCCCAGTGGATCTGTGAGACAGATCACTGCAAAGGAGAAGAAATAGCTGCAACAACAAAACACTGATTTCTGAGGTGCTTTAGTGCTCCAACTAGTATTTTACATTGATTATATGCCAAGTCATTATTTAGACAAGCTAGATAATCTGCATTGCAACTTCAAAAGGGAGAATCACAGAGGCATCTGCTCTGTGTTCATCTGATGGAATAGAGAAACTTGATATGAATAAAAGAAGAGAGATGGCCCCAGATACTGGCCACCCCTGGAGCATGTGTTTAAGCAGTGACACTATGATAAGAGCCACCACAACGCACTCTGTGGGCTGCTCAAGAGAGGATTTAATCAGGTTTTTCTGCCTTTTCCAACAGATGTGTTGACAATCCATAAGCGTATGGCTCACATTCACAGGAGTTATTTGCCCCCAAGAGCTTTAATGTAATTTTCAGGCAGTTTCCTAGCCCCCATTTCTCTCATTTCTTAAATATATGTGTTTCCTCAAGAGAAAAGGGTAATAATCCTCTGAAATAGAAATGGATGGAATTCAACCCAGTCAGAACCAATTGGATCCTTCAGATTTTAGGTTTATATACTTCACTTAAATGATCTGCTAATGAACATGAGCAGAAACATGGAGCAGTGTTGGTCACAGGGAATTCACTGACATTCATTCACTTTGATTTTTTTCTCTCTTCTCTGTTGGTGCCCATATTATCTGACAAAAGTGGTTTTTACTTGGGTTTTTTGATTACTTTTTTTTTTTTTAATCAAATACATTATTGGCTTCTTATTGCGTTGTGGAGAGAGATTGAATAATCAAAGCTGCTTCTATCTGCAACATATAAAATTATTCATTTACTTAACATTGTAGATGCTCGAGAAGTGGGGACAAGGCATGCCTCAAGGAGTCTAGAAATCTCTCCTCACCCACACCAGGAGAGCCTTTTGTTCTTTGAGGCCTCATGAGTTGAAGGCTTGTGTTTGGTGGATCTTGAAGTTGTAAAGGAGGGTTATTTGTAGCTTAGATCTTTAAGGTGTACCCACAGAATTAAAAAGTTGCCTCCTACTTTCCTTACTGGATCCTGCCAACTATGGCAACTTCACTTTCTTGAGGGTCCACTGAATAATCTGATGTGTTCAACAACTCAGAAGAGCATCAGGATAAAAGTGGTCTTAACCATTTCACAGCTAGGTAATGAATAAGAGCAAAAAAACATAGTGTAGGCATGCTGTGCCTCCAGTAAATCAACAACAAAACTCTGACTTTAAATGTTTATTTTTCAGAAGATAATGCAACTTTTTAAAGGAAAAGAAAGAAAGTCTTTATGATTGATTGACTAAAATAGGGTTTAAGAGACAAGCTAAAAACCTAATTGTTTCTGCAGCTTTTATGAATGTGATTCATCTAGTGTAACTTTACCTATGTGTAGGTTGGGTGTTTAATCTACACTGATTCTACCTTCATCATTCCCTTGACTTTGCAGCAGCAAGGACCTTTTCTCCACCTGAACCTCAGCTTCCCATCTGGCAGAGGTTTTGGGGATGCATATAGTATCATTTTTGGGGTGCATATACATGACTAGTTATGTACAAAGTCCAGACTAAAAGCCTGCAGTAAAATGGGTAGTAGTTATATTTTGTATCTGTCTGGTTATTCTTCTTTTTGTAAACTTAAAGTCTTTAAATGGTGTTCATACAGTGTTGTAGAGCAGAGCCATATTGGCACAATATCTTAGAATAATTAAATTTTCTCTTAGAACACTTGTGGCCCAGAACAGAAAGCTGTTGTATGATTTCTGTGAGTTATTCTATCTTTTTTCAATGATGGAGTTTAAAATGTGGCAAAATCTCAATAGCCTGTGTTGATTGACAGACTTTTGAGAAAGTGACTGTTCCCATACTTCCTGATTCTATAATATGTTTGCAAATAATAGCACAATGCTAAATTTTGTGATCCAGTCTTTGCAGCTCAAGTCTTATCAACACTTTCCATGAACAATCATACTATTAATATCTTGAACAAGGTTGGTCTATTGGTCTCATTTTCTTTTTTTCTTTTTCTTGCAAGTGACCCTGTTGTCATGCTCAGCATTATTGTAAGCTATTTTGTGATCAACCAGAATAAGCAAAATATGACCTTAATTTTACCCTGATTTTTTTTCCTTCCAGTGGCTGCATCAACTGCTAATTCCACAGCTGGTGCGGCCATGAATTCTTTGACTTCTCTGGGTACTCTCCAAGGACTGGCTGGAGCCACTGTTGGACTGAATAATATTAATGCACTAGCAGGTACCGTAAACAGTGAGTATTTATTGCTGTGGTGGACAGCCTTCCCCAATAATCATGCCACAAAAACTATCAATTGTAAAGCAATTATATGATTATTTTTAAACTATATACAAAATAAGAGGGTCAAATAGATCTAGTTCCATTCATGGTATATGTGCAGTTCTGGAGTCTTTTAGTTTCACATAGTTTGCTCTGCAAAGTGAAGTCCCTTGTGTCCCTGCACAAAGACTCCTTTTCTTGCAGGGCATATGGAAGGTAAAAGAAATGTCACCAGGGATTTGGGTTATCTAGGTTATAGGAGAGGCTCCTTTTTCATTTAGGGAGGCTGACAACAGGTATATCACCCCAATGTGCAAAACCTCAGTCAGAAATGTAGTGATAAGAAAGATATTTGCCACAGAGGCAGTCCTTTTAAAATGTCTGTAGGAATTATCAAATTGACTTCAGAGCAGCATAAGTTAAAAATTAAAACAAGTCTTTGGCTTTTAATTGGCAAGTAGAAGAGAATGACGCAGTCAGTCACCTGTAATACCAGAGCATGCACATCTTTCCTATGACATTTTAGACAAACCCTGGCATCTCCAGATAAGTAGATGTCAGTAGTTGTTAGAACATTCTTCCTTGTTCCTAGCCTTGGTCAATATTTTCCTGAAAAAGAAGGACTTTTTTTTTTTTTTTAATTGTTTCTGCTATGATGACTTCACCTTTGCCTGTAATGGAAGAGATTTGTCCAGCCGTATTTTTCCCCTCCCTTTTTTTTAGCTGTTGTTGCTCCTTGCATTTCCTTTTGCAATGCAAGGAATCTATTTGGTCATTGCCAGTCCATGACCCATCATAATGTACCCCCAGGAATGGATGTCCTCCTCAGTATCTCTTGATTACTCTGATGCACTGCATGATGTCTTTTTTGTCACTGTTACTTGGCTGCTCACCCAATCTTTCTGTTCTGTGATCTCTGGTTGTCATTGTTGGGAGCTGGGAAGTAAGGGGGCTTATGGATGTCCATGTAGCAATGTTGAATGATTGCATGGGGTCTTGTGTAAAACAGGTCTTGCTTCTGGCAAGGACATGCGTATTTCACACAAACAACCTCATCGTAAATATGACTCAAGAACAACTTAAGACAAGTAAGTATTAGGTCCCCAAATGGCAGATGTTAGTTTCCTTTCTTATTATTACATTAGTATTAAAGAAGCAAGCAACTGAAAATGGCATGCATGAAATGCTAACTTACCTCCTTTCATGAGCCCTTGTAGTAAGAGAACTACCCTGCCATAAGTAAGAAATGATTAAATACCCTTTACTGATAAACAGTCATTGTGCTTTACTTGGTTTATAAGAAGTCAAAATATCAAAAGCAGAGTATGGTATCCCACTCCTTTCCTCCTACAAGTACTAAGAACCCAGACACACTGGAGCACTCCAAGATAATGTCCATTTCATCAAGACCAAGCAAGAATGAATCACCTATGAGCTCTTGACTTTGTGTGGGAAACCTTTTGTTGCATTCCTTTTAACACTTCTTGCTAGACTACAAGTAGAGAGTTTACATTTTCTCAGCAAGTATTTTGAGATGATGTGTGTGCAAACTTATCTGCATGTGTCATTTGAAATATTAATGATGTATTCACAACCTAATACCAAATTTCATCTTCTTTTAAGCCACCATGGCTTCCATGGACTTGTACCAACAGTGGATTCAGTCCCAAATCTTCTTCATGGATGTTTTTATGGACACAGAGAGTGTACATGCCCAGAATGTGCATGTATAGCACTTACAAAATGTATGTGGATATGTCTGTCTATATATATACATATATGAGAGAGATCCAGAGGGGAAACTGCTTCCCCACAACACAGTGTTGTGGCCCCATTTCTCTGAAAAGGGTGACACTGGTTATCAGTTTCAGGTACTTGTGATGCTAATAATAGCAAAGTATTGTTCAAATTATAAAAACCTCCCCTTTTTATTTTAATGATGAGCCAGTGCTTTTCCTAGTGACCATTTCTGATCCAGTCATTTACACTCAAACCTACCCAGGAATTTACCTCAGGAAACCTCACGTTCAATGAGTCTGATGTTTTCACACTATGCCATCGTCATAAGCACTCCAGTAAAATCATTCATTGGTCATGGAGGTTCCTGAAGTAATTGTGCAGATAAGTTGGAATTGAGCGACATGCTTGTAATTGGGGAATTAAAAAGAGCAATCCAAAGCAGAAGTCAAGCAGAGCTTAACCCAAAGTTAATCAGAAGGTGGCACTGGGCTTAGGCATTGATTTACACAGAACTGTTGGAAGAGGTACTCTTCTGTTGAAGCCATGTCCTGCTCTATATGTGAGAATCACAGGGAGAATGTCTTCCAGGCTGAGCTCACTAGGACACTTTTATCTGTTTTCTGGATCCTGGTTGGGTCCATGAAAAAAAATCTGGGCTGTGGAGACTGATAGTGCTCACATTGTAGAGAGAAGCATTGTAGAAAGAAGTCTGGAGGCCTTAAAAATTAAAGGGAGTATGATAAGTTTAATGGTCTCCAAGTGTTTGGCAACAGTTATATGCATGTGTGGGAATTCACCCAGTCTTCCCTCAGTTGTGCTTGAAGCATCTAAAACCTTAAATGACAGAACATTAGACTGTCTCCTTTGGGCATGTAAATTTAAATAATGTAACAAACAAAAAGAATTATGAATCATGAGGAAAAACTAATAAAGAGGGAGGAAGAGATTCTTTGCAATTAAGAAAGAAGACCATCTATTCAGGATACTGGACAGCTATGACACAATATTTGTGTGTGAACCCAGGGCAGTCACTTAGCCTTTCTGCTCCCATATTTACATCTGTAAAATGGAGATAAAACTATTTGTGACAGAATTGAAGGTGCTTGCAAAGCACTTTGAAAGACCTTTGGACTTGCCAAGCATTGTCACTTCTGTATTATGTAGAGTGACTCAAAAAATTAGAAGGCCATAGATGATAGACATCAAAAGGTTATTTCACAGAAGTGAGGAAGGGACCAGAGTTTAATATCAGACTGAGGTGCGTTGGTAGAGATAATAAAGAGATAGCAGAGTTGTGTGACTGCAGCTGGACTGTATATTTCATAAAAATGTAAAAAGGGAGAATAGATAAAATGTTGAGAGATTCCTGCAGATATTTTGCTCAGGAGGGAAGTGTATTTAGACATGTGCAATGCAGTAGCAGTAGCTGTGCCCTTCCCAGAGGCAGTGGGGTGAGCTGGGGCTATCTGGCTGTTTGCTAATCTGAAATCATTTGGTGGGAAGGGGCTATTGATTCTAGGTGAAAGAAGGGGGAGGATGCTCCCCACTGCAACACAATGCATGTTTATCTAATAGGCTGATGACTCACAAAAGATAACATGTTATCCTAATGCTTCCTCTGTTATCAAGTTATTTCAACACTATAATATAAGGAGTGGTTGTATTGCTGCTTTATCAGGAGCCTTTACTTTAACCCATGATGTGTGTACACCCATGCAACCAATGACACAAACCTAAGTATAAAAACATCGAAGCAGATTAAGGTCAGACCCGGGATCAAATAGTAGTTGTAGTAGTAGTAGTAGTAGTAGTAGTAGTAGTAGTAGTAGTAGTAATAATAATAATAGTAATAATATATTATATTATTATAATAATATATAATAATGACTTATTATTATTGTTATTGCTATTATTATTATTGGTTGGGGGGATGGCAGGGTTTTTTTGAATCTTCACTTTCCAAATATCCTGACTTCTAGATATGAGAAACTTCAAGAGTTATCTTGGTTTGCAAGGGATTTTTTTTTTTTCATAACTGGAACCATTATACAACAAATATTTGGCTCTCTTGTGCTCTGACAGAGGTTTTTGTTCAAAGCAGTGGCAGACAGTACCTCCTATCAAGATACAGCGATGATCTGAAGTGGGGTGGAGGGGAAAGAGAAATCTTCAAAGTGCAAGACATTTTATTAAGAAAAGGCTAAGAATATCACATCTCTGTCAAGTGTTTAGTCACACAAATTATAGTAATATCAAAAGGTATAATTTATGCAGTACAATTCTCTTAATTGGCACAGACTCTGGTAGAGCCAGAAAGGTGCCACTTGAGCAATTGTCCTGATTATCAGAGACTCATAGGAATACACTTTTCAAATCTACATAAGAGATGGAAGAAAACTAGTAGGTCAGCATCTTTATCCTCCTCTGTCAATGCAGGATAATTCCCTGCAGTATTCTTTCTATCTCTGAATTACTCATGTGGTAAGGTTTATGCCATTTTCCTTGAAGATTGTTTCCCAGTCTAATATATTTCATTGTTAATTCACTATAAAGTGTCCTCTGCTTAATTTCCTCACTTTTCTTCAGTTTACATATCATCCCTTATTATTGCTCTGAAATTAAGCTCTCAGTTTCTCTTCAGTGTTCCCCACCAGTCACCTCTTCACCCACCATTTTGCCAACCAAAACAGTCAATGTCTAAGAAATGGTCACTGGTGGTTCCGGGTGCCCCATTTTTCTGGTGACTCATCTGCTGTACCTCAACAGGCCTGATTAAGCCCTTTGAAGTTGTTTGTTGTTTTAGTTGTTCATCTAAAAACTGGGGAGCATGGGGTAGCTTGTTGTGCAGAAAACTTGGCCTAACTCTCAGTCCTGATGAACACTTACTGCTCCAGTTGACATAAGCCAGAGGTGTGGGTGATGAGCAGGGCTCTGAACTCTGCTACTCCTTCAACTGCCAAAAAGACTGTAAGTCTAACAGAAAATTCACTTTTTTCTGTAATTTCTGCTGGAAATAGGTGTCAACACTGTTAACTTCAATGTGGCTCATTTAGAAGCCATGATGAGGAATAGACGCAATGGAGGGAGGCTGTAGCCCAGGAGTTTGTCTACCATCAAGTCAGAGTAGTAAAACTTCTGTTGCAGACCACACTGTTTGCATGGATGAGGGATGCCATTTTCCACATAGCTAGCAATCCAGTCTGAAATTTCGTCTTTGGCAGTTATCCCGGTTAAATTAATCTATTATTTATCAGGATATAGGATCACTTTAAAGAAAAAATATGAAGTGACTCTGCTTCCAGTGAGAAGAAACTGGATTTGCTAGAACTAAATGTTTTTGTTTCTTCATGAAAGATGCCTCGTCTGGATAAAGCACTTTTAGTCACTTTTAGATCATAGAATCAGAGAATTGTTTGGGCTGGAAGGGACCTTAAAGATCATCTAATTTCAACTCCCCTGCCATGAGCAGGGACACCTTCCACTAGACCAGGTTGCTGAAAGCCCTGTCCAACTTGGCCTTAAACACTTCCAGGGAGGGGGCAGCCATTGTTCATCTCTTCTGGAGTAACTGGAAGAGGAAGATGGAAGTGCAGAGCATCACAGTCCATCTTCCTACCATGAACCTAAGGGACAAAGCCCACAATTGCGCAGAGGGTTGTTTCAAAATACTGTTAGTTGGGATTCTCTGCTAACTCTGTATATAACTTCTGATACGGTGTGGTCATGGCCTGTTGCTAAAGACCGTGGTCAGAAAGAGTGGATTTCCTCGCAGACTGCTTTTTCCCAGTGTCCAGTTTTCAAGGATGCAGGTCAAATACATCCCACTCTCCCAACTTCAGATACTCTCAGCAGAAGCACGTGTGTCGAGGAGGGTGGGCAGAGAGGCTTTCAGGAGCACTGAGCTGTAGTACTTGCCAGTAGCAGGCTGCATGCGAGTCCATTTGACTGTGCAACCCTTGTGCTAAAGTGATCCTGGCGCCAAAGTCATGTTTCTTTGTTTTCAGTCCCTTTCGGTGAAGTGCCGAGCTGCATGCACTGCTGTCGTTGTCAGTGTCATATAATACCAACGACTTTCGGAAAGCACTAATGAACAAGTGCAATTTCTTTTCTCTATTGTTGGGTTTTTTGTAAAGTTGCTCAAATGCTCTCAGGTATGGCGGCCCTGAACGGAGGACTCGGCGCAACAGGCTTGACGAACGGTACGGCTGGCACGATGGACGCGCTCACCCAGGCCTACTCAGGAATCCAGCAGTATGCTGCCGCCGCGCTGCCGACGTTGTACAGTCAGAGCTTGTTGCAGCAGCAAAGCGCTGCAGGCAGCCAGAAGGAAGGTAAGTGCCCACCGCCATCAGGGCCAGCCCCGTGCCGAGCAAACTCCCCACGACCCAAAGAAAGTGGTGTCACGGGCTCGTTTCTTCACATAGGCTTAGGAAAGGGCCTCGAGTAGCCTAATCTTTGATTTCTTTTCAGTTTTCTCCTGTTTTGTATTGTTACTTTTTTTAACCTCCAACATAATTCATTTTTTGTTCCATCTGCCCTTCAAGTTATACTTTACTGGCCATCTTTTCATATACAAAAGCATTTACCAACTACCGCGTAAAAAGCCACTGGTAACAAAAATCATCTCTTTATGGGTGCCATGCTCTCTTCTGGTTTCCATTTTCTGCAATAATGGAGTTAATCTGATTAGGTGTAAGGTTTTCAGTTGATGATAAGATCCGTTTTCGCTTTGAGAGGTTCTTTGCTTAATTGTGGGTCTTGCGGGGAAGCAACTAAGTGAATGATTGCCCCCTCTCCCCGCGCCAACAGCAAATAAACCTCAGGAAGTTACTGCTAAGAATAAATGAATACTAATTACAAGATGTTTAGGAAAATGAGGTTACCCTTTTCCCCTCCTCTGTTCCCCTGCACACTTCCCAGGCATTTGGGGGGTTTGTTTCTGTTCTCATTGCTTTCTTTCATCCTAATTTACAGCTAATTCTAGAAGGACAGGAAAATATTGCATACTTTCTAAGACTGTATCTATGTTGTCACTACTGTTCTTGCCAGAGCTAAGCTTTGGAAATAAATCTAGTATAATATCCTCAAGACAATTTTTTTTATCTTCTTTTAAAATAATATCTTGTACTGTTATGGGAAGTGTTTCCTAGGAAGACAAATTTGGCATTCCCCCAGCTGGCTGTAGTATAGGGACATTGGAGTTAAAATGTACATTTTCTCTAAATTTACTTCATTTACTTCTAACAGCTTGAATTATTTTAAATGGGGTTTTTTTAATTAACTTTTTTTCCCTCATTTTTTCATGTTCTCTGAAATTTTCTTTCAGCTCACTCGCTTTGGTCAGTGACAACAGACCATTTGACACCAGAGTTTTTTTGGTGTCATTGTAAGATACGTATGCGAGGACAGTTTGATTTTTTAATTTAATTTTTTTCTGTTTATGAACATTCATATCAAGTGTAGGCTTATTTTTTATTATGATTAATTGGCTATGTCCCTTTTAAAATATAGTCTTTTTTCTTATATGTCTTGTTTCTGTTAGTAAAGGGTTAAGTTAAAGTGAGTAAATTCCATCACTGAATACTGACAACTATGTTTGGTCTCTTAACATGATTTCTGATGGAATGGTGAAGTGTCTGGAGTGGCTGAGGATAAACAAGTGCCAGAGAAAAATACTATATAAATATTAAATGCTTAAGCACATTGAACTGCCTCTTGCATATGCTCTAAACTATTGTTTAATAAGTTTTTTCTTACTATTTTAAAAAATATTATTTCTGGATAGGATAGGAAGAAATAAGTTCCAGCTAGCCAATATTTTTCCTCTTTTTTATTCTTTTTAAAAACATTTTTTTTTTCTAATCCATTTATCCCCTCCTTTGGGGCAAACATTGCAACCTTTTCCTTAAGGCTGAGAGAGAGACCCAGCCTAGTTATCTAGGGGAGAGGTGAAGGTACTGTTGCAAAAGGTACTCCATAAACCTGATTAGCACTTTCCTCCTTCTCTCCAGAAAACCAAGAACATCACATCTGAGGCACACTTAGGTTCCATTAAGCAAGAGAATACTTAAACAGGTTACTCTGTTTTTACCAGAAATGTTTATTTCCTTTGGGTACCATTTACGCTCCTGGTGTCTGCGTAGGAAGGCCACACGTCTGTCTCCATCATACATCATGTTTTTTCAGTCAACCATTGCTCATTTCCAGTATGTTGTTTCAAAGGAGAAAGTGAGTTAGGGAAAAAAAAAAATAACCTATTAGTGCTAGGATGAGTGTTGAAACCAACAGCACTAATAATGTATATCTCAAATTTTGGCTGTAAGGAAAATATTCAAAGTACCTTTGAGTTTGCACCTTTCTTTGCAAACTCAACTTTGTCTAAAGCCACTTTAATTTCAAACCAACTACTTTATTTTGAATTTTTTGAGAGGACTTTTACAAAGTTTCTTCTAGGAGACAATGGGGAATTTGTATTAAAAAAAAAAAAAAAAAAGCTGTCATTTTTAAATGAGTCAGTACAAATGTAATTGAGTTTCTTTTTCTCTCTGACTTCCCTGATTTCCAAGTCACAAAGTTTGCATTCTCTTATCTTTTTTATTCCCGTCTCCACCAGCTTCCTGCCCTTTGAGTTTATATCTGTGATACTCAAATCTGAGCTCAGTTCATTTCATTTCCATAAGTTCCCTGGCGCGGGTGGAGTGATGCATTTCACTCATAAGAGAGAAGTAGCAGTGTGTTTACTGATATAGAACAGGGATTTAACAAAGTTTGATAGTAAATGTGACAGTGGTCTAACAAGATTTGATGTCAAAGTACACTTGATTATTTCCTGCGTAGAGGACAGGGTCAGACAAAACTGTCAGGGAGACCCTTCTGTTGAGTCATGAGGTTCAGAAATGACCCCCTTGCTTGCTAAACTCCTTCTCAGAGGGGAGTTTAGGTGGGGCTGGATCTCAGTCCCAGACTAGGTCAACAGTTTATGTCTAAAGGATTATTTGTGCACAACCAATCCTTTATATCACTTAGTTAGGATTTCAGTTTAGCATGCTATTAATCACTTAACGAGAATCCATTGAGGCAAGGACTCTCTCAACCTCGAGAAGTAACCTTGAGAGGTGTCCCTACTCAAGGGGAAATCCTGGCGTGCTGCCCACTGCTGTGCAGGAGAGCTCAACAGGCCCTGAGCTGGCCACTAATTACGGAGTAAGATAATTGATTTACAGTCATATTTACATACTGACTGCAGCTGTTAGTTTCTTCCAAATTTGCTTTGAGTCAGATGTTGACCATCACTGTGGTAATGTGGGCACATTGTTCAAATTAGCCCTTGACTACTGTGCTGTTATCTGTCTCCCCCAAATCCACCTGGAGTGGGATGCAGCCATGACGACCAACTGGTGGTTGTCACTTGAGCAGGCAGGTTGGGAGTGGGGAGAGCACACCACCACATTCCCACAACTAGCATTAAACCAACAAACCCCTGCAGGTGTTTGAGGCAGCAGAAGACTCCTTGTGCAGTTCTTGGGGTATTGCGAGAGAGTAACACGTTGTGTACCTGTTTTCCTAACCTTAATTATACTGAAAGGCACTCGTATAAATTGAAGAAAGAGGCTGCAGTTTAACTTCTTCTGTAGTAGAGTTATCAAATAAACACTTTTCAAGACAGGATGTTCTAAAGAGCTTCATTTCAGCTCTGTTCCTTTGATGATCCACTTGCTTTTGTTCCTTCAAAGTTGGAAAGTGAAATGCTTTCTGACCATCACCTTCAGTAAGTATTATGGAAAAATAGATTAAATATAGCACTTATAATAGCTGTTTTCATACTTCTGTTGTTTTGTTTTCCTAAAGGTCCGGAAGGGGCAAACCTCTTTATTTACCACCTCCCCCAGGAGTTTGGAGATCAGGACATTCTGCAGATGTTCATGCCTTTTGGAAATGTTATCTCTGCTAAAGTCTTCATTGACAAACAGACCAATCTGAGCAAGTGCTTTGGTATGTCAAATTTAATAAATCGAATAGTAAAAACCACATGCACTGTACTGAAAAGGGGCCAGGAAAGAAAATTAACAGCAATGTGAGAAATGTCATACTGGAATCTTATTTCAAAAATAATGGACTGTTAATCCTCAAATAAGCAGGAAGAAGCACAGACAAACTAGTTCTAACTAAATATTGGATATGAAAAAACAATAATAATCCTCCAGTCTGACATCTCGCATGAATGTGTCAAGTACATGAAACTAATTACACCCTATGTAGGGGAATGTCATTTAGTATACTATTAAACTGCCTTATTATGGATACCTAATTATTCTCTATTGTATAGCTGAGCCACTTAAAAATGCTCTGTGTTTAACCCATTACTTCTACATTACAGGAATTTCTTTCCTCTGAATTAAGTAGAAGATTTTGCAATTAGTGATTGAATGGTGTGTACATGTAGTTCAGAACACTTCACAGACAGTCAATGTCTAGATATGCAGATCCAACTGTTGCGGGAGGGCTCCAGTGTGTTATGGGAGGTGGCATCTCCCCTTACCTTAGGGCAGGGATAAAGGGAGCCTCACAAGATCAGTGTCAAGTTTCCCAGAGAACACTTTGAGCTGCCAGAAAATTATGTCATGACAGAGGAGAAGATGATATGTTGGTGTAAAACAAGTTCTAGAGTTGATTAAGTGGGCTGATGTCTTTAGAATAACACAGATGCACCAGTTCAGTGCTTTGATGGAGTGGAGTACAGAATGTAAGCGAGTGGCAGTCTGTTAAAGCATTGATCTAATAACTGTGATCTTATGCAAGACATGAGGAGGCTCTAGCAGGAGGAAAGAATCTCTTATATTTAAGTTCTATAAGGTTTGACCTGAAATATTGGAGTTTACATAAAAGTGACAACTCTAAGAGTAAAGGAATGCAGCTGTATGTATGACAAAAGAGTAACCAGTCCAGACAACCCCCTAGTTTCCAAAACTCCCTTGTGTTGCTCTTTGCCCAGCACCACAGCACCATCCCTTAATTCCAAAGCGTCCCTATAATATGTGTTCCTTAGCTTGCATATCATTACTTTTTTTAAAATCTAGGTTTTGTTAAACTGTATCTGTCTAAGGATTTGGCTCCACCCGGGCCATTCAGGGACCCCACAGCTATTGGGCTTTAACCAATCTTGAAAAGGTTTGAATTCAACTAAACAGACAGTATCCAAACAGGAGGAGAATTCAAGTTACTCAGAAATACCTAGTGCACTGGAATTCAAGCCTTGCCACAATCTAAGTGGTTTTCACCTGAAGACGAGCCCTTAATACACTTGGAAAGTTATTTCGGTTCAGAAAAAGGGTGTGACATTCATTCTGTATTCTTCCATAGTCTTTCATTTCATTTTTGAAGCATTCACTTCTTTAAGCTTTACAAAAAATTGTTCGTATCTAGGCTAATATAGTCCAGCATGTTTCTGCGAGGTGTTAAAACCGTCCCAGAGGCTGTAGCAAATTTGAAAAGTGGAATTGAAATGGACTCCCTATTGATCTGGAGCTTGTTCAGTTAGGATGTTGGGGTGACAAAATCGTTGTTGAGGTTTCCAGGAATCTTGATGAAATGTCAAATCAAGCTACGTTAATCGAAAAGCAGCAATTGTGGTGACTGCTGAAAGAATGTAGATTAGTTTGGGCAGGTGGCTCAATTTATCAGCTCGCTTCCCACACTTCCTTTTTGTGGGTTTCCTTTTACTCTTTGATTACCTACTTGCACATTTGTCTGGATTTTTGGGACACAGCTACCTTAGAGTGACTCATCGAGGTTGAGGGAAAATGGCAGGGCCAACACTCAGCAGATGGAGGATTCCTCTGTCTTTTTGGCATTAGTTGGGTTTCACTACCATTTCAATTGCTCATTCTTCCTCCCCAGATATTCTGCCCCCAGTGAGAGAGTTCTGCTTTGAAAACAAAAAGTACTTCAGTGGCAGAGGAAGTTAAGATTTTCTGATTCAGTAGGTGACTACTTGGTGATGATGCTAATCACAGGCAAAGCCAGAATTAATCCTGCTAGTTTAGCAAAGTAGCATACTCTGTATGCACCTCCTTATCTTTATTAGCAAGAATTGTATATTTGTTGGTTTGGTCCCATATTTGTGTTTTTAAAAGCTTTATTTTTTGGTCTGTTCTCTCACCCAAAAACTAGGACAATAGTGCATCTGAAGAACCTGTTTCTCTCCTGTATCATTAATGGTCATTGCTCCTGGTACAGCTTTGGTTTGGGTTTTTTGTTTGGCTGGTTTGGTCTTTTTTTTTTTGCCTTGTAGTAGTAATAATAATAATAATAATAATAATAATAATAGCAATTACATTCTGCGCATGCTTGGTGCTATCTACTCTGGAGTTTCCAATTGCCTGCCCAAAGGCACAAATCAGTGAAAAGATTGTCCAAGGCTGTCCACTGGCAGAATTGGCAAGGGAAGGTGCATTCTGAGTTGCGGGTTAGTGATATACAGTGATGAACCTTCACGTAACTCTGCATCTCTAAATGAAAAATTACTTTTTCTTTGCAGAAAATGGACTTTGGCATTATTTGCTTTCTTGTCCACCTCAAATGAATGCTCAAAAGATTAAATGGTGATGAGGATGACAGGACAGTATGTGTATACCTGGAAGTGCTATTCCATGAGTTCTCATGAGCTCTAGTTGATTCAGCAGACAAAGGGTTTAAATCTTCAAGATTAGCTCTCACCTTTTACAAACCTTAGAATAACAGAAGTGAGAGATGTAAAAGTAAAGCAGGGGAGGGTGGACCCAATGACATCAGAGCTAAGACAGTGATTAGAGTCATGTGAACAGGTACAGTCTTCTAGAAAAAATAAGGGAGAGGAAGAAAGGAGAAGAGTGATGAAGTTCCTCAGGATATGGCAGTAATATTAAGAGAAAATGATCTAGTGGAGAAAGTGAGGAAATGACAAGAGTTACTAAAACCAAGGAAGGTATGGAGGAACTTTTATTATCCCTTAAGGGGGTAACAAACAATCAACTGCAGAACAACATGAATAGAGCGTATTGACTTTGGCCAGGAGAAGATCTGCAGAGATTACATGAGAGGTGTTTTTGAGTGGAAGGAACAGAAGTTAGCCTAAATCATCAGGGAAGAGTCTTAAACTAAATAGCATGGTGAAGTTGATTTAAGGTGAAACCATAGGGATAGTCTATGAAGGAGAGTAGCTGGACGAGGACCAGATGATTGATAAGAGGGTTTTTTTCTTTACAATAGGGAATGTGTATCATTCTGACACTGAAATGAAAGAGGGCAGCTGTGCAAGGTAAGCAAGAGCCATAAAAGAACAGGTTAAAATGACAGTAAAAAGAGATTATAAATCAGAAAAGTATGCAGGCACTGAGCACAAATGAAGAAAGCTGGTAGAAGAGAGGCACTGAGAAGCCTGTGTGCTAGGACTAAAAACAAAGTGTGTGGGATCCATGCTTTAACAGAGTGAAGGGATATGTGTTAAGGCAAATTCAAGTGGAAAGAAGAGGGAGCATTTCAAAGCAGTTGCATAATAGCAGGCTGAGTACAGTAGTAATTAGCCAGAGCTGAGGCAGAGCAGCAGTTAGGCAAGCTTTGCAATTACAAGTGGGAGGCCCACATATGAAAATGAATTTTGAGCTTCTGGAATCAGGGATATTTGAGTCCATTATGAATTGAGCATTTTTAGTCTCCTAGGGAAGAAAAAGCTGAGCCAGGCCAGCCATTCTGAATTACCCAAGCAAGCATTATCCCCCCTAGTTAGTGCTTAGAACTGAGGAGCAGAAGATCTGGAGTTCTCGTCAAGCCCTGACATTGTCTTTACAATGCTGCTTAATTTTGATGCTTGCATACCCCTTTGGGGACCAAGAAACTGAATTAATTAACATTTAATGTACCTTGAGATCTTGAACTGGAAGGAACTGTGAAAATACAAAATATTAATACTGCAACTGTCCTGGGCTAAGCCCAAGGAGATGAGTGTTTCATTGCACACAGGACCAGTGCACATGAACTCACATTCAGGTGTGCAAATGCGTATAGGCATCTACATTTAGGTTTTGTTTCTGTAACCAAGCTTTCTGTTCCAGCTTCACATCTGCAACTGGCCTAATAGTACTTCCTAATAAACTGGGAGGTATGTAGATATTACACTGAAAAGTGTCACAGTAATAAATATCATCAATCTCTAAGGTAGGTGGATAAACAACAGATTGGGAACTGCATTGAACCAAAACTGGCCAACTGCATCCCAGGTAGTAAAGAGATATTACGAAGGTAAAGGGGAAGGCAAAGGAAATGGGATACAAAGTGCCATCAAAGAACTAATTAAAAGTGAGGTGAATGTGTCAAATAAATAGTAATAATAAAATCCTAACAAAACGCCTTCTGACATTTGTTCTAACCTATAGTTCGCTTTCTCTCCCGCCTCCGTTTTCTGTGTCTCGTAGGTTTTGTTAGCTATGACAATCCAGTCTCTGCACAAGCTGCTATCCAGGCTATGAACGGCTTTCAGATTGGCATGAAACGCTTGAAGGTTCAGCTGAAACGCTCCAAAAATGACAGCAAACCTTACTGATCTTAACCCCAGATGCTTACTGCTCTTGTTTTAGCTTTCTTAGGGTAAGTCCCACAAGCAAACCTGTCCTCTGCAGGGGGGTTAAGAAAGAACACAGAGCCAACCTTCACCAAGAGACAGTTATTTTTACAGTTACCACTTCCATTTCCCCACTTGTCCTTATTACACTTGGCTCCCATTTCCTTGCCAAGTAATTATTGAGTTGTGTTACTGTATTTTGTTTTGCAGCATAATTTATCTCCTTTTTAAAACAAAAATAAATGTCTTGAAATTCAAAGCAACACACACACACACAAAATGTGCAATTTAACTCTGTGAACCCTGGTGCCGTTAGCACACAATAAAAGTTGTTTTCTATGGATGGATAGTATTTTACCAGGGTGGCACCAGCAGTTTATAGGTTAAACAAAATGGCCTCATGCCAGTTGAAGCACTTATTTTGCAACAAAAATTGAAACAAGTCTTTCCACTACATCAACTTGTTTTTTGAGAAGATTTGATTTTTTTTTTTTTTTTCGGTTCAAATCAACGTATTGTTATATATTAGTCTGATTTTACACTGGTCGTCTTTATATTCCACTTTTTTTTAAGTTCTTGTTTTTTTGGAAAGGATTAATGTAAAAAAGATTTAGAGATCTGTTTCTAAAGCTACAGGGTTTAAAATAAAAAAATAAAATAAAATGAGTGACAATACTTGATGTTTCTTGAGAGATAAATTTAATAATAATAAAAAAAAGAAAGCCACAGGCCTGTAAATTTTATTTGTAAAAAGCATTTCTATTTTTATACAAAATTTTTACTGCCTCAGAAATAATGGAAGTTATTTATTGCCTATTGTTAACTTATTGGATACCTAAAGAGCAGCTCTCTATGCTAGCTAGATCCTTTGAAGTAGTCTCTAGAGTAATTGTGCCAAGAATGGGCGCTTTTTCACTGTTGAACCCTACACCCTTTACAGTTCATGCTTTTATCCTCTTGTTTGTATTTGTCTGGTTATTTTGTTCGTAGTTTCCATTACCTAGTTTAAAGTTCAGTTGTCTGACCTTTTTTTTTCCCTTCCCCGTACCTTTCTGTTACATTTGTAGAAACTGGTTCTTTCCTCTCTTTTCACCCCAAAGAGGAATCCATTCTCTCTGACTCCTTTCAGATGGATTCTTTGGGGGTTCCATTGTGCTCTTGTTGACAAGTATTGTAAGTTAATGCAAATTATGTGACTGGCTCATAGACTCTACTGATAAAAGATTTGCATTAGTTTTCTCCTGCACCCATAAAAGTGATTTTGTTTGTGCTGCATAGATTCTATGTAACTTTTTTCCTCTTCCTTGTTTTTTCCCTAGACATCTCCATGCCCGTTAGCCCATCGTTTGCCTAGCATGTCCCTGTGGCGTCTCAAAAAAAAAAAAGTTTCATCGTCCCGTCATTGTTTCTGATGTCTTTCTGACCTCACATCATATTTGGTTCTCCTATTGACCTTTGATCTAGTTTGACCTTTGAAATTTGCATGTGACCTCATCTAGCTATGAATTCTGGGAAGTCAATGTGAAAAAACATTGCTGCATTCATGCAAGACTGAAATTTATTATTAGATAAATTAATGATAGGATTTAAAAACAACCTGTGGCAAAATGTTTTTTCTTTCTTTCCTTTTTTTGGTTTTCTTTTTTCCTTTGGGTTTTTTTGTTTGGGTTTTTTGTTTTGTTTTGTTTTGTTTTTCATTTCGTAAAAAAAAATAAAAAAAAAAACAGACTTGAAAGTATTATACAGGGATTGGCATTCTGCCTGGTCACTGGTGACAATAGCAATATGTGTCCAGAGGCACAGAATGTTGGTTTCTAACAGACTACTTCCAAAACAGTTTGAGAAATAAAACTGTCTGATTTTAAGTCTCTAGAGGTCTGTAATAGTTTTTACATTTTTCAGGCAGTGTAAAGTTTTTTGATAAGGCCATTTTAGGTGGCTCACTTTCTCATTAAAGTATATATATAGAACCACTTTTTGTAGATTAGTATAAGAAAATATTTACCCTGTTTTAGGGCAAATGCTACCTACTTGTGTCACCTTTTGCTGAACTGACTCACAGTTAGACAATCCATGGTTTAATGCACATGAAATTACCTATATTTTATACTGTTTCAATGTACAGAAGAAAGGTTACTGTAAAATGTGTTACGTTGGTGCTTCTGTGAATTAAGTTGTGGTTTCATCATGAGTCTTATGGTCTTAAGTGTTCTATGTTTATAAAAGGCGAGTTTAAAATTGGTTTACTTGAACAACAAGAACAAAAACAAGATTCAAAAAAAAAACACAAAAAAAAAAAGTTGTTTGCTTAAAAAAAAAAAATTAATTTCATGTGAAAAATGAAAAAATATTCCAGAATAAGTTTGTGTTGGCTTGTGACGCATTGATGTCATTTTTTTATTGTGAACAATTTAGATGTGTTTGTGTTCAGCAAAATGTGATCGGTTTTTCTTTTAAAGAAAAAAAAAATCAGTGAAACTATAGTGCCAAATTCCAAAGGTACTTTCTTCCTAGAGCTTCAGTGTGTTTCTTGTGTGAAGTAATTTGATAACATGGGTATTTTATTATGTGTTTTGTATAAATCCCTAATATTTAAAGAAAAAAGAGGTTAAAAAGTTTGTTAACTTGCTATCCTGTGGTCTTGTTGCCTGAAATTGTTATTGTTTGTTATTTCTCTTTGATGTTTTTTGTAAAACATTGTATAAGTGCCCATGTTTCACTTTTTTAACCACTCTGCACACATCAATGCTGTGAAAGCAAACCTCACTATGTATTTTCTTCATATTGTATGGAAACCTCTAAGGTGAGAAAGTTTTGAACTTTTAACCCTTTCCACCCAGAGCTGTCTTGAGTGTTAATACCTTTTATACATTCACCATTTTGCTGTTTATTTTTATATATATATCTATATCTATAAATATATATATACTTAGTTTTTTGTGGTTTATTTAATACATGGTTGAAATCAGAACAATGCACAGGGCAGATCTGAAGGACAAAAATATTTTACTGCTGTCTAAATTTCTTCTGTATCTATAACTAAAATTATTTAAAACCGTAATTAACTTGTGGTTTTCCTTTTTAGATTTTGGGGATTTTGTCTTTTCTTAAAGAGCTTTTAATATGCTGCTGGAATATGCTATTCAGTATTAATAAAATAAAAGAAAAAGAAAACAATTCTTTAATTATCTATTGTGTGAGCCACTCCCAGACAGGAGTGGTAAATCCACCATTTGAAAACCTTGAGGAGAAAAAAAAAAAATATTTTTGTAATTTAAATAAATGAACTTTTGCTTAAATCAGATGCACTAGATCTTCCTGGTTGAAAATTCAATGTGCACTGCAGTTAAACTACTTTTTATGGATAAAGTTTACATACACTGTAATGTTTGGTGTTATCTGCCATTATTTGTAACGGCAATATATTGGCTTACTCCTGCAGACACTCGTATAGAGAGGAGTAACTTTACTCGTACAAGTAGTCCATGGGAATATATATGTGACTGATGTGGGTGTTTGCTGGAGGAAGCTCTGTGTAAGGAACCAGAAAAGAGATGCTGGTAGCCCTTTTCACTGCCTTGTAAGTCTGATTAGATTGCATTTCTACCGCACAAATAGTGACCAATAACCAAATTCGGTTCTTTGCTACCGGTATAGAGAATCCATTGCCAATCCAATGCGTGTAAGCAGCAGTACCTGCTACTGATGATAAAGTGCCATACTTTCTTCCACTTCCTATTTCTATCTGATTATATTCGAAGCCGCCTAAAATTAAAAATGAAGCCCTATATGAACAACATCAGCTGGTGCACTCTTGTCTCTCATCCCCAACTTAAATGCTTCTTTATGTAGAGCCCTGGGATGGAAAGGACTAGCCTCTAGTGATGCAAAAAATTTTCCTTCTTATAGCACATGCACTTATAAATAAATGATCTATACTTTTCTCACGTTTTTACTACTGCTGGGGCCTTCCTACACCCTTTGAGGGCTATTTTGTACTACTTGCAGCAATTTTGCATATTCAAAGTATCATCTCACATACGTTATATTATATATATGTACATATATATATATAATATGAAATCATCATTTGGATTGTTTAGACTGTTTCACTAATTTTTCTCATTGTACCCACCGTATAAATTTCCAAAGTTTTTTTAGATGCCCTAGTGTGTGACCTGCAGGTTTACCAGTCCAGTTAGAGCGGTGATGCCTTTGGTCCTCATGCAGTGTAACTCAGCATCAGGCTGCCCCAAATTACGCTACATGGGACATTGGCTTAGCAAAGGGAGAGGAGGAATGTTTCTGTACTTTCAGGCAACTGAGATGGGTCATTACTGAGAAAAGTGTCCATCTTGAAATAAAATTTTAAAAAATAAAACCAAGTACAAAACCAAAAACCCAAACATACATCTCCTTGGAGACAAATTATCTACCAGTTCTCTTTCAAAATATTGAAAGGAAAAAGCTGCAAGGGTGCAAGGGCCTAATAAGAGAGGAAGAAAAACAAGGGAAATTGCTTTACAAAATTCTAATCAAAAGACTAGACTAGTTGTTTTTTCAAACAAATTAGCTAATTGCAATGAAATGGCAGTCCTCAAAGGAGTAACAAGTTCATCTTTCTTTCACCATAGGGGTTACAGTTCCTTGGCTTGTGCTACTCTGGAATCATTTTACTGTTTCTGTTTTTATTATCTTAAGTGCTAATTAACAAAAGGAAAAAATATCCTGTAGTTTCATTACCTTTTTGGATAATGTCATACAAAAAAAAAAAAAAAAAAACAACAAAAAAAAAACAAACCTATGTATTTGTGTTTTTTTTGTGCTGTGAGAATTGTTGTTTGTAGATTAATAATACTATCATTTTGTTTAGAATTACAAACTAGTTTTTAAGTATTGTCTGAGAAAAGCCAAAGTTAATGCAATCTAGTGGAAACTGTAAGACCATTTGAGTATTGTTTCTGTTTTATTGATGCATTTGGATTTTGTTGTTTGATGGAATTTGAGCCAAAAAAAAAAAATAACAAAAAAAAAAAAAAAAGAAAAAAAAAAAAGCAGGCTTTCCTATTTCTACAACTTGATTGTACTTATGCATTTTGTACCAGTGGAACTTTTTATACTGGAGATTAAAAAACAAATGGAAATTTTTGTGGCTTACTCTTGTGGGCCCCCTCGATCATGACTGATTTTCAAGTTTGATTTCTGGATGGTAGAAAGAGAGTTGGTTTTGTTTAGAGAATTCAAAACTTTGGCTTGATTTCTTTTTTTCCCTTTGCTTATATCTAGTGTTTAGAATTTTGTCTTAACAAAAGCGGTAAGTTTCACTTTTTATTCTGTATCGTGCAGTTACACAATAAGGTAATTAGAATTAGGAGTACTCGGTCACTTTGCGTGGATAAATGTATTAGTTAAAAAGTTAGGGGTTTGCTTTTTTGCTGTTTAGATCAGAGTTTTTTCTGATTCTTCTGTCCTCATTGTGAACATAACCGTGTAGTTGAAACAGTCAGACTTATTTTTGTAACGTATGTTATTGTGTGATGCAGTTTTTTGCTTCTGTCTCCAATATTAAACCATTTTCCTAATACTTGTCTCTCTACTTTGTGTGTTGTATTGTTGGTGGTCATTCTGTGTTGGTAATACATCTACACACCTCACTGTTTCACGTGCCTGTTTTTTTTTTCTCTATTTGTTGGTTGTGTATAAAAGATACAGTCGATTCCACCTAAGTGAATATCTGATTGGGGGGCAAAAGAGGATTTGTACATTTTAGACATGTTATGGTTTCTTGGATTATTTTTTTTTTCTCTCTTCCTCCCCCTAGTCATGCCTTATCACTTGGATAATCTGAGCAGGAAGCATTTTAAATGAGTTTCTTGCAAAGTCATATTGAAGGTAGCTTTCGTTAGCCTTCTAACTGCAAAAGCTTCTGCACACAAACACACAGAATCCACCTGAAAAGATTTTTTTTTTTTGCTGTGACATTATAGTCAGTCTGGAAAATGCAGACTATGGAGATCAATACTTCCTAGTCATTAAAAAAAAATAATAATACTCTGCTGCTACTCTACAGAAACATATGAAACGTTCAAGAAAAGGAGGATATAGCCTTGGGATTTCTTCCAAACTGCACAGTAATCCGACGGCATATGGTGTTAGTCAAACTCTCCTTAGAAACTAATCACATCTTAAGTAGGGCTGTGAGAGCCTGCAAAAGTCTACCAGGTGATCGACCTTGTTATGTGCAGTTATACATATAATAATTTAAAAAATAATATCAAATCCAGGTGAGCACAGGAAGACTTTCTATTAAAGCCAGTGGAAGTTAAAAAAAAAAAAAAAAAAAGAAACGAAAAGAAAAAGAAATGATAAATGATGGGAAAAAAAATCCCCTGTTGTTCAAATGGGTGATATTTTTGCTGTGGGCTTACAAAGCAGATCATTCTCAGCATTGGCTAATGGTATTACACAAATCTCAAAAGGGACAAAAGAAATACCATAGTACTTTTTTTCTTACTATTTTTTACACTTGACTTTTAGCTTTTTTTATTCTTTCATTTCCTATCATTTTTTTTTCCTCACAAGAATCTCTCTGCTCTCCCCCAACTGGTGCCCACCATAATGAAATAAAAGCTGCAAAAGAAAAAAATCTATGTTGTTCTGGTTTACAAAAAGTCTCTTCTCTCCTCTGTCTGATCACAGATGCAAACCTTACAATTTGGAGAGGGGGAAAAAAAAAATAAACAAACCCAACCGAACCTAAGGAGGAGAGAGCAGCACTGGCGAGTGCTCTCTGGAATTCAAGCCATACGCCCCCATCCCTTTCCTTTGTCCCGCTTTCCGTGATGCTCAGGAATTGAAGACCACTTAAAAGTGCTCTTATGAGACCCAAACGACACTCCTCCCTCTTGTCTCCTCTCCCCTGGTCTTTCTGGCACTCTGGCTTTGGCTCACACACACACACCCCCACCCTCAAGTAACGTCTTACGAGGTCATGGCACACTGGGTGTTTCTGTGTGGTGCCAGCAGCGACGTTGGCTCCTGCGTTTGGAAGAGTTTTGAAATTTTCTGGTGGCTCACGAGTCGGCCTGGTTGTTGTCGGACAATATATTTTTTTAAAAAAAGTCTTTTTTTTTGCTTTTTTCACTTTTCCGTTTCCATGAAAGTCAAATAAGTGATGAGTGGAGTCCCAAACAAGCTCACATGTCATCTTTCAGGATCTGTTGTCTTAGGTCAGGGGTCCAAGCAACTCTAAGTTTAATCTAAAACCACAGAAGCCTGTAGTGGACAGCCCAGGCAGGAAAGCAGAAATTGGTGGTCAGACTATCTCCTGGGTCTTTGACATCTCTAGATTTTATGATCCCGATTTGGATAATTTTGACACCAGTGGCTTCAGTTGAGTAAGTCCTGACTTGCATGAATGATGAATCAGAATTGGTCTCTGGGTTTTTTAGGTCACTGTGGATGTTTTCTTTTTTTGTTTTCTTTCTTTTTTCTCTCCAAACTTGGTCTTAGTAAAGAAACTAGAGCTTTGTGAAGGGTCTTTTCTTCAAAAAAATACAACTGAAATAAAAGACTTATACTGCAGTTGGATTTCTTTTAAATACTCAGGGCTGAAAGATACAGGTTTTTCTTTTTTTTTTTTTTTTTTTTTTTTTTTTTTATTTCAACAATGTGGAAAAATGAGTTCCTTAAAGCAATGCAGCTGAACAGTTTGTCCTGCTTAAATGCATGCTTTTAATTTCAATTATGTAAGGCACCTTGCAGTGTTAGCAAAATGTCTCTTTGTTAGCTATATGTGTATCGCCATGGGAAATTACCAAACTGTCACAAGACTTGCTGATTAAAGAATAGCCTGCCAGAGTGTGTGTGCCTTTGCCCAGTGTGACTCTTAGGTATTAGGCTAAGGAAAACAGTTTAACAAAATGTAGTGTGAATCATTCCTGATAAGTGAATAAAGCATTGTGACCAAGCAATCAGATTATTCACTTATCAGGAATCGACTGTACTGATAGTTTGCCTGATCGTTTTTGTTCCTCATCTCTGTTGTAGTTTCACTACTTTGCTGTGTTCTGTTTTTTCTCTCATGCTCTTAGCAAAATCACTGGGAATATCCCTTCGTGTGATCATGAAACATGCTACTGAGTAACAAATAAAAAAAAAATTAAAATATAAAAATGATATCTTAACAAAATCTATGCACTTGCTATCAGGAACACAATACTGGATGTGTCTTATATATATTGAACTATAATAGTATTCGATTTCTTAAATAAAGCTTAAGAAAGGATTTTGTTGTCTGTAAAATTTTATGAGCATTAAATGGAAAAAAAAAAAAAAAAAAGCCATGTTTCTAGGGTTGGGCACTTCTTGTTATATGAAATCTTACTGGGTACACGGTCTTTAACCATGCCCAGGCAAATGTTATATAATTCGCTTGATATTTCATTAATAATGGAGATCTTGAAAATTAGACTTACTGAAGTGTGTGGGGAGAAAAAGTCCTGCCATTCAGTGACTTGCAGCAAAAGACATTAAAATGCAGAAATTTCTATCTTTTTCTGTGTTTGCAGAAGCAAATGTGCTTGCTTTTGCACTAAAACTGAGAAATAGCTAAATTATATGAATCAGAAAATGTAATTAAACAGTACTATATTACTTCCACAAACAATGCTATACTTCTTTTTTGGTATGTGACTTTTTTTCCTCCTGATTATAGATAGGTTTAGAATAAAAAAAAATGAAACCCCATATGCTCAAAATCACAAATTCAACACTGGGGGTCAAAGCATCTTTTTGCCCAAGTTGTGTGGCTTACTGTACATTTTCTGTATCTGAGCCTTCTCTTACGAAAACATTTCCACATCAAAACCCATTAAATAAATGGGAATCAAATAGCTAAAACTATTGAATACACTGAAAACTTTATTCCTTCAATGGCTGTGTATTTGCCACAAATTTGTAGGTTTCGAACAATCAGATTTTTATGGAAATGCCCATACTTACTGTATTTAGCAAACTTTCTATAATGCCAGCCTTTGGCAGAAAGATCCAGGAGAGTGGTGGGGGTTGCTTTCTTTTTTTCTTTTGAACTGCATTACTTCCTCACTTTTCATATGCCATTATATTATCTGAAAAAAAAAAAAAAAAAATTAAATTGTGGAAATCTATCTGCTGCTTGTATCATTCTCCTGTATTCGTACATATTTAGAAAATGGTATTGAGCTCGGCATCTAGTGGCAAGGTTTTTTAGACTTGTAAACCCAAAATACTGCTCCACCAGAGAGGCCACGGAGAGGATTGACCTTGGTGGGCAGCAGGATGGTCCTGTCCATCCCACATCTGCAGATCTCAGGTGAGGACCCAGCCCTGGTTTTCAGGGGCTTGCTGATGTAACACAAATGTTAAGTAATAGCAACGATTAGCTCATATTTGTATTCCCTCTGATTTTCCTCATTAGCAGACTTTCTTTTTTTCCGTTAAAGGGAGCTGGAAAGTTGCAGTCATTTTCTGAATCATTCGCCCCTGTTGATAACCTAATTGTTTTACATGAATGCTAATATTTCCCTCTCACACATTTATATCTATCAGCTAAATCAGCAGTAAAGTAAACTCTTCTGGGATACATTCCTATATCAATTAGCAAGAATTTATGCTCCAAAGCACCATTAACATTAATGGGAGTGTGCTCTTTAGCATAAACAGTTGGTGATAGGTCTGGTGGACTTTATTTCCTAAACAAAGAAGCATCTGAATATTAGAGACTTATTTTCTGGAGACGGGACTTCAGGGAGTGATGTCCCACCCTCCCTGGGCTGCTCTAGGGACATCTCATTCACAGGACATGCATAAATTGTTGAGTTCCCAGCAAAAAGAGACAGCATCGGTTTGGAAAGTGGGCTAACTTCTGGTCCAAAGTTTTGCTGACATTTTCCCTTCTAAAAACCTGCCTGAGAACACACCAGGCAAAGTTTTCAGCATTATCTCAACTCCCTCCAACCAATGGCTTGAAAAATTTCACTCTTGGTTCGCCCATGTTTCATGGTTCCACAGGATGGAGACCACGGAGGTGTTGGAGGGAGGGATTTTGGAAAGAGGCAGAGGACAAGAGATGAAGTCCTGTGGGAAAGTAGGTAGTGGGTTTATCAGCTCCCTGAACCATAGTCTTCACAGTTCTGTGCTTTTGAGTAACAATTTAGAGGGGACCAGTAAAACACCAAGTCTCACCTTCCACTTGTAGGACAACATCATTTCCACATCACCCCATGCTTGATCAAGTCAAAAAATGTGCGACCAAAAGGTTTCAGTCTTTACCAGAAGCCACTGGGAGTTGGGTTGAAAGTCCACCACTTCCCAGAAGCACACGATCTGCTGAATCCCCGCCCGTGCTTCTGCAGACATTTTCTGTGTTCGTTCTGGCTCTGCTCAGTTCTGCTACATTAAAGAGCCCTTTTGTATCTACCATCCCCACCCACCCAAGACGCTAATAAGCAGGTCTCTAGTTGCTTTTCAGCATTTTTTTTTTATAAAATATGTATCTATCATGCTCTGGAAGACTCTACATACAATAGTAAGGGTTTTGATCCC